CTGGTACCAAAAAAAAAAAAAGAATGGCAAAAGATGGCATTGTAAGTGCCACACTTCTGTTTGGTGTGACCTCTGCTGGTGGCATTATGAAATTGTTTTAAGTCATTTTAGACAACACACTCATTGTGGATTTCAAGTATTGAGCTGTCAGTTTTTGAAGAAATGAATTTTGAGGTGGTGTGGGAGAAAATGCATCTTATAAAATGTTATGGTAAAGGCCATCATTGACCTGTGATTAGTAGGAGTTTTAAGTATGTTATTAAAAATCTAATGGGCAGTTAAGGGAATTACTAAAGAGAAGTTTATGAACCTACCAGATTTCAATGTAGATTTTGCCTTTATTAAATGAGCTTAAAAGAAGAGGTTACAGTTTAAGCTTGAATGGAAGAGCTTGCCATTGTTATTCCACATCTAGTTATTGCTGTTTACATTCCTTTGCGGAACCTACACCTTCATAAACTTCTTAGCAGGTAAATGTTGAACACTTCTGCTTCATCGTCAAGGCAGAATCAGAGGCCATCTATACAGGCAACTGACTTGTCTGTTTTCTTGTCTTTTTCCATGACTCTTATCTACTGCCTCATCTTGATTTATAAGCAAAACTGAAAACCTACAAAATGAATGTTTTGTGGTTTATCTAGAAATAATACAGAAAATAATTGCTGTTATTTTTGGTGAAGAAAATTTTGTATAGTTTATTTCAATCTAAATAAAATGTGAATTTTGTTTAATAAATAAATACATACATACATACATACTTTGGGAATTATTCCACTGAAATCCCTCATAGCATGTAGAAGTATGGACTGTAATTTTTTTAGTGTATAATTTTAGTATCACAGAATCTGTCTTTGTATGTTGATATTTGTGCACTTGTAATAATTCTCCAAGAAAAAGGAAGAATTGTTGGCTAAAGGGTTAAATTTGGAGAGATCTTAAAAATTCTGCAGTTCACACCTCTACCAACATATGAGTAGGCTTATTTAACCATACCATTATCAACCATTTTATCTCTTGTCAGTCTGATAGGTAAAAAAGTCAAATCTCATACTGATTTATTGTTTCTATTTTGCTTCTTTTTCTTTCCTTTGCTATTAAAGTGAGCATTTTAAAAAATATTTATTGCCTAGTTCCATTGAGCAGTATCAAATCACTTTGCAGGTTAAGTTTATCTGGGAGTGGTTTCCTGGGAGGCTGTCGACTATTTTCATAAACCAGAGTAAAATGATTCCTGTGTATGTCCTCTACAGCAAACAACGACATAACAAACTCTGGAGATCTCATTCAGACAGCGACCTCTCAGACCACCATGAACCCATCTGCAAACCTGGACTAGAACTCAACAAGAAGGAGATCACCACCTCAGCAGACCAGATTGCTGAGGTAAAGACCTTGGAGAGTAACCCATCCATACCTCCTGTCTTTGTGGAACATGTGGTCCCACAAGATACCAAAGAAAGAATGATCTGCTTGGAATTTACTTCTAGGGAATTTCATGCTGGACAAATTGAAGATGAATTAAACTTAAATGATATCAACGGATGTTCATCAGGGTTTTGTCTCAATGAATCAAAATTCCCTCTTGACAACTGCCATGCATCCAAAGCCTTAATTCAACCTGGGCAGGTCCCAGAAATGGCCAACAAGTTCCCAGATTTAACAGTGGAAGATCTGGAGACAGATGCACTGAAAGCAGACATAAACGTCCACTTACTGCCTATGGAAGAGTTGACATCTGGACTGAAAGACCTCCCCATGTCTCCTGATCCTGAGTCACCAAGCCCCCAGCCTAGCTGCCAGGCTGAAATTTCAGATTTCAGTACAGATCGCATTGATTTTTTTAGTGCCCTAGAGAAGTTTGTAGAGCTCTCTCAAGAAACTCGGTCTCGATCTTTTTCCCACTCAAGGATGGAGGAGCTAGGTGGAGGAAGGAGTGAGAGCTGTCGACTGTCAGTGGTAGAAGTACCCCCTTCTGAAGCGACCACTGATGACCAGAGAAGTAGCTCTTTGAGTAATACTCCCCATGCATCGGAAGAATCTTCAATGGATGAAGAACAGTCTAAGGTAAAAACTATCTTTATGGTTCTCCACTTAATGAAGTTCTCTCCAAAGACCAAATATGTTAGATTTTGTTATGTTCGTTTTATTTTTTATGATAGTGAAACATTTAGGAAGGCAGACTGTCTGGCTAAGATTTACTTAGAACTTAAATATTTTATGAATTAGTTTTGAGAATTTTATCTTTTCATGCTTTTGGTGTTATTGGAAGCACTTCTGAGCAGGGCTGTTGGAAGAAAGGATTAGCTGAAACAAATGTCGTGGCTGAACAAGGAGAGGGTTCCCTCCATAGACCTCTGCAGCTCAGATCAAATCTCACCAGTAATGAAGTATCAGGGACTCAGATGCTGCCTGAATGAGATCTGTGTCTCTGTCAGAAGATGGATTTGTTTGGAAAATTCTTTTTGTCTCAGAAAATTCAAAGGCTAGGCTTATGTAAATAGTTGCTGGAGTAGCAATTGATTCCCACGCTAACTTCTTACTGTTAGTAATGTTTGAATTCTTTAACTCCAGTCTTGTGTTACTCAAGAGTCAAGGGTTCGGGCCGGGGATTTAGCTCAGTGGTTTCGTCGCCTGCCTCAAAAGTGCAAGGACCCGAGTTCGAGCCTCAGTACCCCAAAAAAAAAGAGTCAAGGGTTGATTTGGGAAAATGAATTTGAGAGCAGACAGGATCCTGGTATTCTTTTCAATGGCATATGAGCTTTTATGTTAGCCATTTCAAAAGCAAAGTAATATGTATCATCAAGTATGTATCATCTAACACTCTCACTTATTCATTTTGACACTTACTCAATTTGACCCTTCTGAAATTAGGATGTATATTGTCAACAATAGTGTCTTAGATCAAAACCATGCAATAGTTGAGGTAGGTGACAGATTTACTCTAAAATAGTAAAATTTCAGTTAATTATTTTAACTGGGCTGACTAGATTCTTGACATCTCCTGATTTTTTTTTTTTACTTACATTTACCTCACCTTGTCCATCACTCATTTGTTATGTTTCTCTTTAACTACCCACCCCCAGCAACTCTTGCCTCTGCTTCTATCCTTCTCCCCTTCCCAAAGGCTATACCTCTGTTTGGTTCTTACTGGGAAGTCAGAATGCTTGAGCTCTCCACTGAACCAACAGTGAGTGCAGTGGCACTGACAGAAATAGCCTTCCCACAGTCACTGGTCATATGAGAACTCCCTCCATGGCCAGTGCACACATCAGGCCCCCTGTGGCTTCTCTCCAGTTGTGGCAAGTTCCCCTCTTCCTGATGTCCTGGCAGATTTCCCCCAGAGGCCTAACTGACCTTGTTAGTTTGTACTAGCTGAATTTCTCTTTTGAAGGAGAAAGGCCGAACAATTACTAGGGAAATACAGTGCTTTGAAGTCATACATAAAAATGCTAACATAGTAGATAGTCCTTATGATCCTACTTTAATACTCTGGTTTCTCTTCAGAGCAAATAATCTTTACCCTTATGATCCTACTTTAAAGTATACAAGAGGGCCAGGGATTTAGCTCAGTGGTGCTGCCACCTGCCTCAAAAGCATAAGGTCCCAAGTTCAATCCCCGGTATCAAAAATAAAAAAGAAAGAGAAGTATACAGGATCCATTTCCAGATTTTAAAATTCTTTCTTTTCTCTTTTCTTTCTTTTTTTTTAACAATAAGACCTGATTTTTGCACTGGGCTGTTTCTTTGGCCTTGTTCCAAATACATGTGGGAATTTATAACTGGTAAAAGAGTAAAATGTCTAAGAGTGATGATGTTTGCTGAGGCACATGGCTGCATAAGTCAAGTATACCTTTCCCAGAAGGAAGCATGTGAAACTTAGGGATTGTGTAGTCAGATACATGAGTGCATCTGGAATGCTGTTGGTAAGAGTTGTAGTGGGGAGGATATGGATGAAAGCTAGGAAGACAGGAGAGAAGAGAGAGGCTAGTTTCCAGATCAGATATCAGGTGACAGTTGTATCCATCTGGGCACATCTAAGGTGCCCCTGAGCCTTTGAATGCACTCTTCCCTCTAAATAAGTTAATATCAAACTGGAAATTGACAGGCCAGAGGAGAAAGGTTTGATTCCTGGAGGTTCCTAGTCCTAGGAAAATACGGATTGTAGAAGCCCCCACAGCTACCTACTGTTCAGTTTAGAGCAAGGTACTGAATTAGAATCCTGCTTGAGTAAACAGAGTAGAAAGTGTAGTAGATTACGATGTAACCTATGATGAATTTTCTATCTCTGACCTCGATGAATCCCAGTTGTTGTTTTTGTTTTGTTTTGTTTTTTCTTCTAGCCTGACAAGACAGATGAAAAGAGTATGGTACTCAGGCAGTCTATACTTTGTGTTCTCATAGTTAGATAGTTTCTCCTGCATCCAAGGATTATTAAGCAGAATATTAGCACTTTAATTGGGCTACAATTTGCCATAATCTCATTCCTTTCTTTTCTCAGGCAATCTCAGAACTGATCAGCCCAGACATCTTCATACATTCTCATTCAGAAAATTCAATTTCAGTCAAAGAAATTGTCACTGAAATTGAATCCATCAGTCAAGGAGTTGGGCAGATGCAGCTGAAAGGAGACATGGTATCCAACCCATGTCATACACCAAAGAAAAGCACCATCCATGAGCTGTCCCTTGAGAGAACCCAGGCCCCAGAAAATAAACCTGGGCATATGGAGCAGGATGAAGGTTTCTGCCCAGCCCAGCCTGAACTAGCCAAAGACTCGGGGAAGTGCAACCCAGAAGACTGCCTAACCACACACTCATCCACAGTAGACTTGGAAGAAGAGGAACCAACTGAAGGAGAACATGAGCTGTGGGGCCCAGGCATGCATTCAGGTGCCAAGTGGTGCCCTGGGTCTGTGAGGCGAGCCACCCTGGAGTTTGAAGAGCGTTTACGGCAGGAGCAGGACCACCACAGTCCTGCCCCTGTGTGTACCTCAATGTCTACTCGCAAGAATTCTAAGAATGATTCTTCTGTGGCAGACCTAGCACCAAAAGGGAAAAATGATGAAGCCACAGAATATTCATTTGCCCCCAAGGAACCAGAAGTGAGCAAGGGCAAAGGGAAATGCAGTAAGTCTGAGGCTGGCTCACTATCCCAATGTGAGCAGAATGCCACTGTTCCAGCACTTGAGCTGCTGGAGTATCACCCCTTGGCAGCAACTCAGGAGTACCCAAGGTTAGATATTAGAACAAAGCAAGGAGTCCCAGAGGAGCAAGGGACTGTAGTTCCATGCCAGGGGTCTGAGACGCAGGACATCCTTCTTCCCAAAAGGATAGAAATCATTGAATATACTCACACAGTTACATCACTCAGTCACACTGGGTCAGGGGGTGAAAGAGCCACAAGCAAAGAGAAGGGGGACCAAGGACTGAGGAAGGTAAAAGTAGAGAAGTCTGTCACTATGCTGTGTGCACTGGATGAAAATCTGAATAGGACTCTGGACCCCAGCCAGCTTTCTCTGCACCCCCAAATGCTACCTCTGCTTCATTCCTCTCCAGAGCAAGATAGGCCCACCAACCCAACCTCCATGTTGAGCAGCCCTGAAGACAGAGACAACAGCCCATTGACAGCCCTGGAAACAACAGCACCTTTTATCAGTCATACAACCCACATACTACCTGCCAACTTCGATTATCTGCATCCCCAGACCATCGTTCACCTGGAAGGCTGCACAGAGCAAAGTAGCACAACAGACAGTGAGCCCTCTGCAGAACAAGTCAGCTGGGAAGAAAGTCAGAAGGGCCATCTCTCTGGTGGTGATGAAGCACCACACAAGGGCTCCCAGTTAAACTGCAAAGACCTAAATTTAATTAGCAAACTTGATGACAACATTGGGGAGTTACAGAAAAAACTGGACCCATCACAGGTAGCCTGGAGACTCCCACATAGCTCTAGTAGTGAAAATATAAAGGGTCTCAGCCACAGCCCTGGTGTGGTAAAGGAGCGTGCTAAAGAAATTGAGTCCCGAGTGATTTTCCAGGTAAGGATCCCCAAACCATCCCAAATGAGGCGCTCAGCTTCTCTCGCCAAGTTAGGTTACCTGGACCTCTGTAAAGACTGTTTACCAGAGAGAGAGTCTGTCTCCTCTGAATCCCCTCATCTCAAAGTGCTTCAGCCCTTCATCAGAACAGATTCAGGCATGCATGCCATGGAGGCCCAGGCACCCCCAGAAAACCTAGATGCCACCCAGAACACAGAGCCCACTAAATATTTTGTAGAACCACTCAAAACAACAGAGTGTATTGCCCAGAGCAAACCAGTGGAGAGGCCCCTTGTGCAGTATGCCAAAGAATTTGGTTATAGTCAGCAGTGTTTGCTCCCCAGGGTGAGACGAGAATTGACTAGTTCTGAAGGAGGCCTTCCTTTGCTACAGACCCAGGGACTGCAGGATGCAGGCCCAGCTCCAGGGCTGGCCATGGCACCCCGTCAGCAACACGGCAGAACTCACCCCCTTAGAAGACTTCGGACAAATGATAAAAAACGGACAACCAACCCCTTCTATAACACCATGTGATTCTGAGCCTATTACATGTGATTTTTCTAAAAGAAATGTATGTAAAGGGGGCAGGTGTAATATGTAAGGAACATGCACTTTATTGGTTAATTTTGTAATATTTTGGTCATTTTACTGTTCCTGGCGCATGCAGGGTTTGGGTTTTTCAGTGTGTACGTGTACATGTATGTGTGTGTGTATATGTGAGGACGGAGAGATTGAGTTGGATGGCAGGACCATTTTATCATTGTTTATTTTTTTAAAATTCAAACCTCAAAAAAAACCTCATTTTCAAAGAACACCTTTATCAAGGCAAATTGCTGTTTCTCAGTCAGCTGCCACCTGCTCCTCATTTTGCTCTCAGAAAAGGCACGCTTGCTTGATTGAGAGAAAGAAGCAGATGGAGGGGGTGGCACTGAGGCTGCAAATTAGAAATGCCCCCCTAGGCCTTTGTGATGACAGTTTCCAGACCTCAGGCATCAGATGAACTCAAGGACAGCCAGGACTTCAGAGTGTTCTTGGCCTTCTTTTTCAGCCCTAGTCCTTTGGAGTTCCTGAAAAAGATATGTTCTGCTTTGCTTTACAAGAGGGTCTTGTACAATTCATTTCTTCTGATATTGTAGATTATATTATTACAGAAAGGCATGATAATAGCTGGCTCTGTAAATTTATCAAGCAAATTTTTTATCCTCAAGAAAATTTTTTAAATTAAAAGGAACACCAAATTAAAGCTAAGAGGTCTTCTGTGGAGGAAAGCATGATGGGAGGAGAGTAGAGAGGCCACTGCCCAGTAACTTCTGGGTTGGTGGCTTCCACACAGATGACCATCCTGGGCCTCCCTTGCCAGAAAATGTGCTCTGCAAGTGTCTCCCCAACTAAAATGAAGTCGGGTCAAGTTTGAAAAGCAGCAATCAATAGTCAATGTGTTCTTGTAAAATGAATACATATGTAGGGTTTTTAAACCCTTTCCATTACTTGAATAATTCTGTGGGCCTTCTGAGTTGAATGGCCATATTTTTTCCCAATTTGTTTTCCTCTCCCTTACTGTATCCCCCCCATCCTGCCTGTTTCTTAATTTCATAGATTATATTTGAATTGTTACATTACATATGTATAACCTTCATCAAATGCAAAGTTTTCTGTATTATCACTGTTTAACACTTGACATAGGGGTTTTTTTTCCTTTCTTTCCCTGAAAGTTGGGTCATTTCTCCAAAGTATACACAGTATTTATGTACATAATGTCACTTTCTTACAATGTTCTGTTGTTGATGTTGTGGGGTCCTTTTTGATTTATTCTTTTCAAGAAGGAATAGAAATGCAACTGGAAAACACATAAAGACACCAGAAATAAAACTGGTAGTTGTGGATAGGAATCTGCACCATATATTGATGGTGATTTTGTTTAAATGGAGATTTCTAATTGCTGGCTTCTGCCAAATTATGCATTAGTACTTCCTCCTCAGAGAAACCCCTCAAGGTTCCCATTAAATCACAGTGTGACTAAAGGCTGATTCCTGTTTGAGACTAAAAGCCTAGAATATTATTTGCCAGTAGATGAACCAGAGCCAGAAAGTGTATATGCATTGCCCAGAGCGGAAGCTCCTAATGGAGGCTGAGAGGCCACAAGGGAGGTCTCTGCCAAGGGCAAATGCCCATAATAACTACGTTTAGGATGTGTTGCTTTGTGGCTATGGAGATCTTTAACACAGGAGCATCTGCCATAAACAAGCCTCCAAGCTTCTTACAAAAAGCATATTTAGCCTGGGATGAAACACCTACTACAGCTCATCAGAACTGAAGAAGTTTGCAAATTTGCTTCCTGTTTGCTGTGGTTGATGTCTACATTGCTGAGGGTTGACTGAGTACAAACTTGAGACTTAGGTTTTTGGTTCATCACAGCATTGAGAGGAAGAGATACATGCACAGAACGTGAAGGTGATGTCACAGGCCAGAGTCTGGAGGGAACAGACAGTTGGGCAACCAAAAGGATACAGAAAAGGTGAACTGAGCCTATTTGCAGGTGCCCCAGAGGAGCTAAAGATCCAATTGCCACATGGAAGCCATGGTTGGGTCTGACATCACTGCCAGGAGGCAGGTTGGAAAGAAACCACCTGCTAAAAGTCTTTATGGTGTAATAATTATGTATATCTGTGCTGTCCTTGAATGTCCAAATGTATCATCGACACAGATTTGTGATTCCTGGATATTTATGTGTTGTAAAGTGTTTTGTTGGGTTGTATATATGCCAGTATGAGGAGGCTTGTCAAACAGGATGATGAATTCCAGGGCTCATCCATCTAAACCACCCTGTCTTGTTGGAGCAATTCCACTAGCATTGTGATGGGGAAAGGACAAGAAATTGTGGCAGGAGGGCCGGGGATTTAGCTCAGTGGTTTCACCGCCTGCTGTGCAAGCACAAGGACTGGAGTTCGATCTCCAGTACCAAAAAAAAAAAAGAAAGAAAGAAATTGTGGCAGGAGTGTAGGAGAGGATTTGCATGGAGGTCAGGAGAGTGGCACCAGTATCCCACATATTAAGAAGTAGAAGAAGTAGAAGTATCAACAGTGTGGCACTGTTCCCTCTCATCTGCCACTGTGTTTAATGCTCACTCTCACTGCATTTAATAGCAGTGAAGAAGGGGAGGAAATGCTCTAATGCTGTGAAAAACACAAACTACTTTTTTTGAAGAATAGAGGATTCAATCTTGTTCTGCCTTCCTTTTTTTAAATTATATTTTATAATTTAACTGACCTGCCTAAGTAAACATCTTCTACATAGACCCTGTAATATAACCATGCCAAGGGATTTGCCAGCCCTCTAAAACCCCACACTCTTGAGTGTTCTTGAGTTCTGGCTGAGCAACATCCAAGGGAGGTGCAGAATAAGCTAGTGAGGACTTTTTAGACTTTCTTCTCTTCAAACTTATTGATAATTTTCATGTGGCTTGCTTCGCATTTCTGCTCATGGAAAACCCAAACCTCAAACAGTAGGTTTGATAAGTTAGCAGAGATGAGCAGGAAAATCTTTGACCTCTTGTCCAGTACTTCACTTCTTGCCCAGTTCCTGTACGTTTTTCTTAAAAGAACACCATAGTCTTTCAATAACTCTGGAGGGGAGAGAAAGAGAGGAGAGCATGTATACAAAGAGTTGACATTTCAGTGCATGGGTTAAAAAGCCCCCAGGAGCACACAGGATTGGAGCTGTAATCTGGATGGTTACCTGGTCAGTAGGACAGAATCTCCCCCGCCTTTTTGCTTTTTGGAAACTCTTAGGTGTATGCTGTAGTAGACATACTGTGCTATAGTATGGTAGTATTCATCTCTCATTTTGGTTGCTTTTCAGATTCTATTTAGAATATTTGTTTTGAATCATTTCTAGCTTCTCAACCTCTGTAGACTATTTAGTCTTTTCCTGCTTTTGACCAAAATAGCATTTTCTCTTCTCATTTTGGGAACTGCCAAGAGCTCTAAGGACAGCCTGATGATGATAGCCTAGACTCTAAGGTCCCCTCCTGCTCATGGCTCCAGACAGATGCTGTCAAGTAGACCCAAAGCTTCCTGTGAGAATCTTCTGAGGCAGGAGCTCACAGAAGTCTTCATTTGAGGATTTCATCCTGAAGTAATCTAGGCATGTTTGATAAAAATGTTTTGTGGGAATTTTTTTTTCCTAAGAAAGCATTATGCAAAAAGTCACTTTTAAGGGCATTTTAAAATTAAGCCAGTTTTTGGCTTTTTCAGATAACTATGTGTGGATACTTTGTTTACATTGTGAATATTAAAATATGCATCATCTTGCTGGCCACTCAGTCCTCCAGGCACCAAGGCCCTGACTGTCCTGTGAATCCTCACACAGAGCAATGCCATAATGTCAGCTCTTATGGATAAGTGGTAAAACCTGGAGCTGACTCCCATCTGTGTCCTGCGCTCTCATCTAATATTCTCTATAGAATAGTAGTCATTTCCTCAGTGATGCTGTGTCTTAATAGTGATGGTTGCAATGGTGAAAGGCTAGTATGGTTTTTGTTTAATTTTGTTTTGTTTTTCTTTTTGGTGAAATTTTAGTTATTTCAGCACCAATCCAACTTGAAAGCATTGTGGATTTTGTTTTCCCTCTCAAACTAAAAGATCAAGGCATGTATTACATATAAGTGTATTTGTTGCCTCAACTCACCTGACACCATATTAGGAAAAGACCTGCCACTGAAGCAGGAGGCTGCACACTCCTAACCTTTCTCCCAGAGCTTGGGGTCCCTTGACACAGTGGAGAGCTTTTGCAAGGTGCTTCTGTACTTTTCCATCCTGGAAATGGGTGACTGGGCCTGGCTTCTGCTATGAAAAGAGAACCAGCCTCATTTTCTCAATGCCCCAGAGATCTAGGACAGGATTTCTAAACTGGAATCATCATCATCCCTTATCAGCCTAAAGATCCCCCAAGAGATAACTGCTGCCACCTGTGTTCTCACAGCAATGCTGGTGGCAGCACCTTCTGTACATATGCAGCATATGCAGAGCTGATACTCAGGGCTTCACTCAAGGTGATGACCTGAACTGAAAACTGGGAAATGCTCTGAAATATTTCCTAATCAATAAGCCCACCAAGAAGTGTTTGATTTTTATATTTTGTTGGATTTTGGTTTGCTTGGCATAGCTAAAGGTGCCTTTTTTGTTTTGTTTTCTGCTTTATTTTGTAGGACTTGTTCTAAACATAAAAACAAGTCCAGAAGACTCTCCCACTGACTGTTACCTTTGCCCTAGGTTACCCTCAACTTTTATGCTCACATTTTCTTAAATAAAGCAGGTGCTCCCTGGAATCTCTGGGACCTTTTTGAGGCATTTGAAGTAGAATATAAAGAGTGGTCTCATCTCCTTCCTTAATCTTCCTGGTGGTTGGGATGTTCCACTTGTATCATAGTTTTTTTATTACTGATGTGCTCTGCTGTTTTTAAATGTGAACTTGTGTGCAAATGTGCAGATGCAATGTTCTTGTTACAGATTGAATAAATTTTTATTTTGAAGATGAAATGTGTACTTCAAGTGCTGTGGGGCAGGGGTGTGCTGGAGGTGGAGGGGTTGAACAAGGAAAACACTGAGAACGAACAAAGATGTTCATTGATTGATTCCAATCAAGCATACCCTGAAGAACTCTAGAGAAAAAATATAACCTTCACAAAATAAAAGACTGGGTAGGAGATAAGGTTACTCAAAATTCCTAGACTGTGGCTCGAAGTGACAAAGCTGAGTACTTGCCTAGTAAAAGAGACATTTGTCAAAGCTACCACGTGAATGGTAGAATGAATAAGCAAAGTGACAAAACTTTCCTGTACCATCTGTGGTGCAGAGTGACTGATCTGAGACAGCTGCAGTGACCTGCCCAGCAGAGACTAAGATTTGTTAGGTGAGTGACTTCTCTGGACATTAGTGAGCTGAGTTAACAAGCTTTCCACGCAAAGCTTCTCAACTCACTGAAAGAGGAGAAACATTTGATGTCAGTGGTACAGGAAGGAGATGGAGCCAAAGAGCAGTTGTGACAAAAGTGCTGGGGACAGTGGCCCCACTTCCACTTTTCTACAGACCCATCATGAGATGTTTAAATGGTGCCACTTGTCAATTAACAAGAGAGCACTACTCTAGGGAGAGAGCTGTTTTCCAATTGCTCACCAAATGTGCCAATACTTCCAGACAAAACCCTGCCTTGAACTAAAATTAAGTCACCCTGCTTCCTTCTGAATCATATGCTTCAAGTAGAAAGGGGCTCGCCACTGTTCTCTAGGGAAAGTGCATAAGGGTAAAGGTAAGGTCACATAACAAAATATTCTACAAGTGCTTGGGGTCTCTGACCAATCTAGATAAGTTCAATCTTGCTTTTGAAGCAGATGGACCAAATCATGGCCAAATTGCCAGAACACTTCTTGTAGAAAGTGGCTTCATGCCTGTAATCCCAGCACTTGGGAGGCTAAGGCAGGAGGATTGCTGTGAGTTTGAGGCCAGCCTGGGCTACATAGCGAGTTCAAGGCCACCTGGAACTACATAGTGTTACCTTGTCTCAAAGTAGCTTCATGAGATGAGTGAGATTCATGCCTATCTTCTGTGGATTACAGTCCAAAGTCCAGCTGACAGTTCATAGCGGAGGCTCGAAGCCCAATTGGCCTTTTCCCCTGATTGGTTTTTGGTTTTGTTTTTTCTCTCTCTCTCATTACCAGGGATCGAATTCAGGACTGGTTCTTTATGGTTTGGCTCCACCCACCCATAACTTTGTCAAGCTTTGTCAGGAAGGCTGAAGGGCTGTGCTGAACCCTGCAAATACCTGTGAATCCCTGCTCCTATACCCAGAGGGCATCCTTCTTCCCAGATGATAGAACCAAAGGCTGAATGGACTGAGGGATTCAGAGTCCCCAGCTCTCTTTAAAGGGAAGGGAAGACCTAAAATGACTACTTGGAAACAGAAGCACTGGTCTGTTTTCTGAAAGGTGACTTCTCAAGATTTATCAGGATTGAGATCAGGCAGGTTTTGTTTCTGAGGAAAGTTCTATGGATATTTAGTAACTGTACTGTGTCATGTTACAGACAATGGGACAAAGGATGGCAGAGTTGTAGCTCTCATATTTTGAGCCTTAAATCTCAGACATTACAGGAAATTTCAACAAAATTACTAAACAATTCTATAGCTTATAAGACCATTTAGACACATTTTCTAATGATTATTTATTAAAACTGCTACACTTGGGGCCAGGGATTTAGCTCAGTGGTTCCGGTGCCTGCCTCACCGGCGAAAGGCCCCAAGTTTGATCCCTGGTACAAAAACAAAAACAAACATCTGCTACACTTGGAGGTGCCTGCATTACCAGTTTCTTAACCCTCAAACCAAATTGCCAAAGAAAACAGCAGCACCTCTATCAATCCTGGCAGATGGATGGACGGGTTGATGTTTGATCTCAGTTCTCAGAACAGTCTCAAGAAAGGACTTTGAGGCTGAGGATTTAGCTCAGTGGTTTCGCCACCCGCTACGCAAGTGCAAGGACCCGAGTTTGATCCCCGGTACCAAAAAAAAAAAAAGAAGAAAGGACTTTGTGAGGATCTTAATATCTTAAACTTCTACATGGACAGGGCTGTCACAAAAAAATGTGAATTACTTTTCAGAGACAGCCCCATGGACTGTCTGGAAGTTAGGGAAGAATTCAACATGCATATGCAAGGTACAAAGCATTCTTTAGAGTAAAAGGCATTTAGTTTTTTAAAAAGATAAAGAGGGCCAGGGATTTAGCTCAGTGGTTCCACCACCTGCCTTGCAAGCGCAAGGTCCTGAGTTCGATCCCCAATACCAAAAAAAATAAAGTGAAGGAAAGAGGTAAGGATAATGTTTCAGAGCACAAGACAACATATCAAATCTCTTCTTTGCCCACAAATGATGCAGAATTAGAACTTGACCTGGCCCTCTACATTTTACAGCCCAGAGTGCAAAAATAGGATGACTAAGCCGGGACTGGAACCTCAGTTTTCTAATTAGACCAGGCAGTGTGTCTTCTGTGCCACATAGCATAACTCTGAGGATCAGCACTTGTGAGATAAAATGGCATTGTCCTGCAAAGAGAGCCAGAAATACATGGTTCTGAAAAAACGTGGACCCAGATGCTAGCCCTTAAGGATAAGAATCTCAGCTCCACCAACCAGTTGAGTGATAGGTATAGGTAAGTGACTTAACTTCTTGTGCCTTGGTTCCCTCCTCTGTAAAATAGGGATAATAACAGTACCCATCTCTGAAGGTTATTACCAGAATTTTATTAATATGTGCAAAGTCCCTAGAATAGTGCCTAACTCATTATAAGTGTGAGCTATTGAGCCACTGAGTTCCTGAAGAGCAATTGAGTTAAAGGAGCAACTGAGTTACTCAGGTCCTTTCTTCTTAGTCATGTACCTGAACTCTTCATTCATCCCCTGGTCCTTCATGCCACGAATTCTTTCTAAACCACCTGTAACAATTTCAGAGTATTCTCTTGTATGCCACTGTTCAGTGGCCTGAACTCTTCCTGAGAAACAAGAGCCTTGTGGGGACCCTCGTGGTTTCCACTACCTTGTATCCCTCTGTGGCCTCTGCCTTCCAGAAAGTTGTGTGCTATTGATTCAAGTGTTCCCTAGAAAGTAGGAAGTAATAACTGTCCCCACACTCCCTTGGAGGGCCTTATCATCTGAAGGAAGAAATCCAGTGTGCAGGCATTGGGTAAACAACAGCACTGGCTGTATTTTGATCAGGTTATTTTTTATCTCCTCCTTGACCTTGGCCAATATTCAGATCCATGGGTCTTGCGAAAAGGGGAGACTCCCTGAAACACAGTTGGGCATCAGCTCAAAGGAGACCCAGATAACATTAGGTGTCAGGATAAACAGCCTCTGAGCTGGCTGCTCTGACCCCTAAAAATGTGGCCAAAAATTTGCGCCAGCTTTTTCCCTCTGAACCTAGGTGGGGCATGGGGACTACAACGTGGGCTCACTTTTCTCCCCTCTCTGGTTTCAAGCTGCTTTCTGCCCTGCTCCATGGAATGAATCCTCTCTAGCAGAGTGAAATGACTAGCACAGGTTTTAGGTTTTTAGGTTTTAGGTACTCAAATGATCCCTATCGCTATTAATAACAGCAGTAGCATTCACAATTCCTTGTCAGGTACCCTCTCAGTTTACTGGGGGGCCCTCATCCAATGACTGAGACCATCCCCCGCAGAGCATCTTCTGGGGCCTCTTCCCAGAGGGCCTGGCTTGCAGTACCGCAACCCCAGCCCGCAGGGACAGGCTAAATTGGGAGCGCGATTGCGGCAGGAATGCGGCTTGAAGGCGCCTGATGTCCCCGGGCCGCCTGCTCCAGGAGAGTGGGCCCCCTCGCCGGCTCCCTCTCTCAGCGTCCCGCCCTGGCTCTGGGAACATGGGCTTCTCAGCCTCCCGGAAGCGCGAAGAGTGGAAAAGTGGCGCGCACCCCGCAAACACAGGCACACTGTGACATCCTTCGGAGTCCTGCAGCCACTCGAGAGAAGTCGGTGACGCTCGGCTTTCCCGCCGCTGGAGCGGGCGGGGCAGATTCGGCCCTGGCCCCGCCCCTCCGAGGCCCCGCCCCCTCAGGTTGATGGCAGCGGCAGCTGGGTCCGCAGCCGAGCGCTGCCGTGGAGAGCCTCAGGCAGCAGCCGGAACGCGCAGCCCTCACCCGAGCCCCAGACGCCGCGGACACCCTGAGAGGCAGTTCCTTCGTCCCCGGCGCACTCCCGGCCGGCTCCGCAGAGGAGTCGCAGCGTGAGCACACCCCCTCCCGCCTTAGGACCAGGTACACCCTCGCGCCACCTTCGCCGCAGCCAGCGGAGCAGGCGGGGTCTCCGGAGGGGCCGAGGTATGCGCCCCCTCCCCCCGCCGCCAAAGTCGGTCCCAGGCAGGGAAGACTTGGTGTCTATATTTGGCCGGACCGCGGCCAGCGCGCAGATACCTCGTCTCGCAGGAACGCAGTGCCGGGACAGGAGGCAGGAGGAGGGTGCGGGGAGGCCGGGCCTCAGGCCTGGGACTTCAGGAGCCGCTTGAAGGGCACAGGGATGCCCTGGGCTGAGGAAGGGCAGGAGTCAGTGCCCCTTTGGGAGAGCTTGATGGGGCCCCTCGGGAAGACAGCAGCATAGCACAGGCCCTGGCTAGAGAAAAAGCACCTCACCCTTTCCACCTCTGCAAATCTGGTCCTGGCGGGGACGGGTGTCGAGGACCCCACGCCAGGAGAGATTACTAGGAGGAAGCGCCAGCCAAGGCAGGGGACCCAAAGTACGGTAAGCAGAAGCCAGAAGACCATGGTTGGGGCTTCTTGCAGAAGCCAGTGCAGGGAGGAATGGAAGGAGCCATCCACCTTACGGGGTGCCCCACCACCACCCACAGCAGCATGGGAGGAAATTGCTGAAAAAGGTTGCAGGAAAGGCACAGGTTAGCTGACAGGAGAAACTGGTCCCTTGGCAAATTTTTGTAAGAAAGCAAAACTCCATCTATGTCAGAGATGCAAGTTTGGGATTAGGGGAGAGGGGCTGCACCATAACTGGCCTTGAGCCAAGATCCAATTGCCAAGGCCTCTGATCCCGGACAAGGTGCCTCTGGGAGATACAGTTCACTGAGCAGATGTTCACCCAAGGCAGCAGCAAGAGGGCAGCCTGGCATTGAGCTGCTCCCAAAACATTCTTTCAGGAAGCTTTCAGACCCTGTCAAGATGCCTTGTACCCCAGCCTGGGTCTCTAAGGAGAAGTCAGGCCCCAAATCATAGCCCTTCACATTAAACAGAATTTGACAGGTGGCAAAGAACTGTCCCATACTTTCATAACTTTGAAGAAAACTACAAGACCTGACTCTTGGTCAAATAACCCTTCTCACCTGCCTTTCCATCCACACCTCCTCCCTCCCACAGCTCACAAGACTAAGGACCAAAGGCATTTCTGAACACTGAGATCCTCCATCTCTACCCCAGCCATGAGCCGGCGCGTGGTTCGGCAGAGCAAGTTCCGCCATGTGTTTGGGCAGGCAGCAAAGGCTGATCAGACCTATGAGGACATCCGTGTGTCCAAGGTCACTTGGGACAGCTCCTTCTGTGCTGTCAACCCCAAATTCCTAGCCATCATCGTGGAGGCTGGAGGTGGGGGTGCCTTCATTGTCCTGCCTCTGGCCAAGGTGAGGGATGAGAGGAAAGAAGCACCTGGGAGGGCCCTGGCTAGGGCCCCTGTGTTCTCACCTGGTTCCATTCCTCAGTAAGGATGGTAGTTTGTGTGGACTGGCTGTTTCCTTTCCCCCACACCCTCAGGAGCTAGTAGGGGAGCTTCTTTACTCCACCCTGAGCAGCAGTGCCACAGTGGCTTACATCTGCTCCCTGTCCTGCCACCTCACCATGCAGCACCCTGTTCCTGGGAGGGACCTGGGAGTCAGGAGATGAACATGGTTGGGATGCAGCAGAGCTCCCTGCCTTGCCTAATGCCACACCCACTCATGTTTTGAGGCTGGACATCCTCCTTCCCAGCGCAAGATGACTGATCAAATAATAGCTCAGAGCCACACACTGAGGACAGGGTCAGGCTCTACCCAAAGAGGCCTCAGCTACCTCCTCTCTGATTTTGTTTGTTTTTTCCCAGTAGTGGGGATCGAGCTATGTCCCCAGTTCTCCTTTGAGATAGGGTCTCACTAACTTGCTAAGTTACAGGCATGGTCCACTTCACCCAGCTCCACAGTGGTTCTTACCATGAGGTACAATGAGAATGAAAGGCAGGGGTACATAACACATAGGACCAGATCTTTCCCTACCCTAGGGAAGGGGGCTAGGCAATGACTGCCACCTTTGCTGTGTAACCTCAAGACCCTTGGCTCTCTCCAGCCCCACGATAAACATGTCAATACGTGGCCTTAGCCTGGACTCTGGTACCCTATAACTTGTCGGGGAGACCTCACTAGTAACAGGGTTTGGCCTGACAATAGCCAGTGACTCACCCTAGACAATACAGGCACCAACCAGGACACCATCCCCAGGGCTCAAATTTCAGCTAGAGCTGCCTCCTTCCCCAGTATAACTGCTATTTAAATGCCACATAGTCACCTCCTCTGCTACTGCCTGGTCTGAGCCAGTGCCAGCCCCTGCAGAGGCTTAGAGCCCCTACTAGGAGCACATGAAGATCAAAAAAAGGCAGTATTCCCTAGCCCCAGTTTGGAAGATAGTAGGTACCAGGGTTGCCTGCTACTTTGGTTCCAAGGTGAAGCCAGTGACAAGAGAGATTTGCCAAGGGTGGGTAGGGGCACTGCCCTGAGGATTGCCTCACCTTGAACTCTTCCACCAGGGCCTTCCCAAAGACATTCCAGTTTGGAGAACAGGTTCAAGAATTGCCTCCTCCAAGTAGGTGACTTTTGAAAAAGTACTAGACCAATGGATAGGGATTTAGCTCAGTGGTTCTGCCACCTGCCTCACAAGCGCAAGGTCCCGAGTTCAATCCCCAGCACCAAAAAAAATAAAGTACTAGACTGAGAGTTAAAGTCTGGGCTCCACCAGTATCTTGTGGATCATTGCTTAAGTCATTTCACTTTTCTGTGCCAGGTTCCTTAATATGAAATTATTTCGACTCTGCCTTCATCAAAGTGCAAGAAGTGGACTGAAGGAGGTTACAGGTGCAGAAAGGAGTCTGCACAGAGAAATGGATGATAGAGAATTGAGATGTAAACAGATCTGCTCCCTACTCCAAACACACACACACACACACACACACACACACACACGATGGGCTGGAGCTTTAGCTCAGTGGTAGAGTGCTTCCCTAGCATGTGCAAGGCCCTAGGTTCAATCCCCCCAGGACCACAAACACACACACATACACTCACTTATACACATACATACCACAGGAAAGTGGCCCCATACTTCTCTCTGACCCCTCCAGACAGGACGAGTGGATAAGAACTACCCGCTGGTCACTGGGCACACTGCACCTGTGCTGGACATTGACTGGTGCCCACACAATGACAATGTCATCGCCAGTGCCTCAGACGACACCACCATCATGGTAGGAGCCAGGTGGATGCTGCTGGGCCGTTGGGCAAGGGGACAGGGAGGGCTGCCTTACCTGTGCTGGGGAAGGTGCTAGAGAGGTGCTGACTCCCAGAGCCCTGCCCTGCTCAGCTTCCAAGCTATTCTTAGCTACATGTCCACTCCCTCCCAGGATGCACTGCTTAGGGCTAATTATAGCCTTGAACAACTTGGGGCCCTGGGGGCAGGGGTGGGGGGATGCTTTGAAGTCTCCCTGCTAGATTGAATGCGGAGGTAGGTCTCTGGAGAGCTGGCAGTGCCCCCTCCTGGTTCCCAGCTGCTTCTGCCCTATGCAGACATCACCATATCTTGCCTGTATTTGACTCCTACCATTGAAGATATCCAGTAGGATTAAGGGGAGGAGCAGAGGAACAGAGCTGGGTCCTTATCCCACCAACTCTTTGCCTTTTCTTCCCACCCAGGTGTGGCAGATTCCAGACTATACCCCTGTGCGAAACATTACAGAACCTATCATCACACTCGAGGGCCACTCCAAGCGTGTGGGCGTCCTCTCCTGGCACCCCACTGCCAGGAACGTCCTACTCAGTGCAGGTCTGGGGCCCTAGGGAGGGTCCCTACTGTAGATGAGAGCCGGGTAACCACCAGAGGTGGGGCCCAGGTGACCATGCTTGGCCATTCTGGACAGGTGGTGACAATGTGATCATCATCTGGAATGTGGGCACTGGGGAGGTGCTGATAAGCCTAGACGACATGCACCCAGACGTCATCCACAGTGTGTGCTGGAACAGCAATGGTAGCCTGCTAGCCACCACCTGCAAGGACAAGACACTGCGTATTATCAACCCCAGAAAGGGCCAAGTGGTGACGGTGAGTCCCGGGCCATTCCCTAGCAGCACTCACCCAGTGACCAGTTGTTGCCACTGGTCATCAGAGCCCGGGTCCCAGCTTTCATCTGCCCCAACCCTACTCGAGACTAGTCTTCCTCTCCCCAAGTCTCTGTAACCACAGTTCCCTGCCCCAAGTAAGCCCCCAGCCTCCAATTGCTGCCTTGCTGCTGTTCCCTCCCCTCCCCTGCATCTCAGAAGCCCAGAGGGGGGTTCCTCGCTTTGAGATTGAGGAGGGGAGAAGCTGGAAACCATCCTCCCACCAGAACCTGCATGAAACCTGAGATCCGGGACCCTTTCCTCAGCCATCAGCCAGCGCCATCTTCCAGGGTCTGGAGCCTGACCGCTGGCTCCAGAGCTGGCACTTTCCCATCCTTGTTGATCCGCTGGGCGGGCGCGGGGTGGGGGTCAGGGTTTGCTAGTCCCGATGGGTCCCCTAGGAGGGCAGCGAGACTCGCCTCACCAGCCTCCGTCTAATGTGGGGCGTGCGGGGTGGGTGCACGTCTGCGTGGAGCACGCGGGTGGAGCGCGGCTAGGAGCGGGTAGGCAGATGGGCACTCTAACCCACTAACCCCGCGAGCAGGAGCGAGCCCGGCCTCACGAGGGCGCCCGCCCGCTGCGGGCCGTCTTCACCGCAGACGGGAAGCTGCTCAGCACCGGCTTCAGCAGGATGAGTGAGCGGCAACTCGCCCTCTGGGACCCGGTAGGCCAGGCCGCTCCGGGCGCGCTCACTCGCTCCTTCATTGGGTCAGACAGGAGCGCCCTGCCCCGCGGTGGCCAGAGTGGAGCAGGGAGCTCCTTATAGGAAAAGCCTCGCTGCGACCCCGGGAAGCCAGCAGACATCGCCTGCTGTAGGGATCACCCTTTGAGGGCGCTTATTGGCTTCGGATCCGCTGAGAGCCGCGCGCCTCCTACTCTCTTCAGGCCCAGATGTTCTCCAGGCCAGGGTCCAGCCACTGGCTCTAGAGAACCCGAGTTCTTTAGGACCCCTTTGTCTCTCCCTGGCCCCCACTCCTGCACCCAAGTCAGCAAGCTGTTTAGTCGATCTGGGCCCTCCAAGCTCCCCAGGGCAGGCAACTGGGTGATGCCCCTCCCTTCTTCCCCCTTCCCCCAGGAGAGGTTTGCAGCCCACGAGGGGATGAGGCCCATGCGGGCCGTCTTCACGCGCCAGGGTCATATCTTCACCACGGGATTCACCCGCATGAGCCAGCGAGAGCTGGGCTTGTGGGACCCGGTAACGCAGCTCGAGGCTTGGGGTGTGTGCCCTGGGGACTGGCATCACACGAGAGGGGCCGGGCGCCCCCCACCGCAGGGCATGCCTGCCTGGACGGGGCTGGAGGCTGTTCCGCCTCCGCAGTGCCTGCCTCCCCACACCCACCCCTCTGCCTAGTCTTTCTGCGTCGCCTGAAGAAGCTCGCGCTGGTGCCCGCACCCGGTGATGCCGAGTCCCTGGGGGTGGTTTGCGGTGACTGCATGCAATGGCGGTGACGCAGGGGATACCTGTGCCCGAGTGGGACAGCGATGTCTCCAGGGGAGGGGACTTTAACTCTCACCAGGGCTGCCTTAGGAATGAGTGGGATTTGGGGCGGACAGGAAACATAAAGGTGGATCCGAAGTAGCGGAAGAGCACAGGAGGATGGGCAGGGCTGGTCACGCCTCCTGTGCTCGGGCAGAGCAACTTCGAGGAACCAGTGGCACTGCAGGAGATGGACACAAGCAACGGAGTCCTACTGCCCTTCTATGATCCCGACTCTGGCATCGTCTACTTGTGTGGCAAGGTGCTGACAGCCTAGCCCCGCCAGGAAGAGCAGGGAGCAGGATGGAGATGGGTGGGGACTGCCTGACCACCCCTCTGAACCGACTGATTTTTCAGGGTGACAGCAGCATTCGGTACTTTGAGATTACGGATGAGCCACCTTTCGTGCACTACCTCAACACATTCAGCAGCAAAGAGCCGCAGCGGGGCATGGGTTTCATGCCCAAACGGGGGCTGGACGTCAGCAAGTGTGAGATCGCCCGGTCAGCAGCCGTGGCCCTCCCGCATGCCTGCCTCTGCCCCTGCTCTGTCAGGTCTTAGCCACCAAGGGTTCCCCTAAAGTGCTGTGTTTTGGAAAAGAGAAAGTTGGGGGTGGGGATCAAACAGGTCTGTTTCAGCGCCCGGCCCAAAGCTCACTCGCCTGACATTCTCTGAATAATGACAAACGTCTAATCAGAGGTGATTTACACCAAGATTGGAAATGCGTGTAAAGTACAACGAGCGGGGTAGACATTCGGCAAGTGTTGGCCTCCAACCCGTCGGTCCCAGACCAGAGACGTTAAGTGGGTGGGAGTCTTCAGGGGTTGATGAATCCGGTTCCCCTTACAGGTTCTACAAGTTGCACGAAAGAAAGTGTGAACCCATCATCATGACTGTGCCGCGCAAGGTGAGTGGCTAGAAGGGTGGGTGGGACAAGGCGCCAAGGAGGAAGAGAGCGCAGCAGGCCTGGCCTCCAGCTCACACGGGTCTGCCTGTCCACCCACCCCGCAGTCAGACCTGTTCCAGGACGATCTATACCCGGATACACCCGGACCAGAGGCTGCCCTGGAAGCGGATGAATGGCTATCGGGTCAGGACGCCGAACCCGTGCTCATTTCGCTTAGGGACGGCTATGTGCCCCCTAAGCACCGTGAGCTCCGGGTAACTAAACGCAACATCCTGGATGAGCGCCCGCCCTCTGGCCCTCGCCGCAGCCAGTCAGCCAGCGACGCCTCCTTGTCGGTAAGATCCCGCCCTGTTCCATCCAGACCCCAAACGTCCTCTACCCTCACTCCCCCCCACACACACAAACACGGCCTCTTCCGTCCTCCGCGCCCCAGCAACAGCACACCCTGGAGACGCTGCTGGAGGAGATTAAGGCCCTTCGCGAGCGGGTGCAGGCCCAGGAGCAGCGCATCACGGCTTTGGAGAACATGCTGTGTGAGCTGGTGGACGGCACCGACTAGCACGATGCGCGGCTGTGCTCTGGCGGGACCGGGCGGGGTGCACCGACTCGGCCGCTCCAGCCTTTGGTCTGGGACTCCGGACCTCGCCTTCCTGGGCTGGGGTAGGAGGCTGAACTGGGAAGGAAACTATACCCCTCACGAGAGACCTAGAAGAAGGGAGCTTATGGGAGACCCGAGTTTGTCTGGGAGGGGCCAGACTGCGCTCACGGTCCAGGACTCAGGACTTGGTGGAGCTTGCCTAAGGGGGCTCCCCCGGGTAACAGGGAGCCTCACAATGGTGCTGCTTGGCGAGATGGTATCCCCTGTCCCTTGTCCTGGACAGGGGAAATGCTTAGTTATTAGCAGAACGCTTGGGGATATTGGGGAGTTTGGGCTTGACCTTAAAGAAGTGGTCATTCCACGAATCTCCCCAGACTGAGTGGGGAAAATTAGGGCGTTTCCCCTAATCAGCTCACTTGATTCCACCAATCTGAGCAGTGAACCCCAGTACTGAGTAGGCAGCACCCCAGTTCTGCAGATGCATACGCCGCCTGCAGAGCCCCAACCCAGGGGTCTATGACAGATCATAGGGCAGCTTCCTCCAGACAGTTTAGCCAGAGAAATCAGGTTCACAACACACATGCGCGTACACACACACACACACACACACACACACACACACACACACACTGCCCCCAGCCCTCTGCTGTGGCCTTAACTCTGTGAAGAAAACAAGACATAATGACATGTTTTACTAAGTGCAAGTAGGTACCTCCTGTATGGCTGGTGGCAGGTGAAGGGGAGATTCCCAGGGTCCTCAGAAAACCTAGCAAATGTGAGCCTGGGCTCAGGACTCACCATCCTCTTACCCTAGAGTCTTCCTCACAGGGAGGTTCAGCAGGACTCCCCAACCCACCCACCTTGGTTACTCCTCCCCAGTAAAATCAGGTAGGAAAAAAGCCTCCAGTTTGAAGCCTCTTTATTTGTGCCTCAGAATCAGTCTGGTGCCCCTGGCATCAGGGAAGGAAGTGGGAGGAGCAGTTTCCCTTTGTTGCTCTTTTCTTCTGTCCCCTTTTTGTGTCCCTTCTGAGCCTCACTGTCTAAGCCATGAAGGCCATTCTGAGAGGCCCGGGACAAGGATGTGCAGTGGGCTGGGGCCCCTGCCCTTGGAGGGGCCTGTGCTTCTCTGGGTGGGTGAGGCAGGGTAGGGGAGAGCCGGGGGTTAGCACCATTGGATGAAGGGTTTTAGCCCCTGAGTGGGGCCAAGAGGGATGCACAACCACAGAGGGCTAGCAGCAGCTGGTAGGAAGGGGTGGGTGGTAGTGCCAGGGCCCTAAGTGATCCTTTGTATCCGGTTTTGTGTCGGGTCTAGTGCTTGGCGCCACGCCCCCCTCATAGCCGAATATGCCCCCCATTCTCCAAGGCACCAGGAGGGAGTCAGGCCTTTCCGGGGGGGCCAAGGGGCCACCTTGGATCCACTCCCTGATCACAAAACTGTGCCTTAGGGGTGGGTATTTCAACTTCTGGCTGCCCAAGGAGAAGCTCGGACCAACCTGAGACCCAGGATGGGTGTGAGGGCTGGGGGAGCCAGGCACCCCGCTAAGTGCACTTGACGATGCTGAAATGCCGGGGTGGGGAGGGGCTGGGCCCTTGACGTGCTGGTTTGTGTCTGGGACAAAGCAGCAACACAGCACGTGGGGAACTCAGCTGCCCCCCAGGGGTGAAGAGCAGAGATGCAAAGGCTTCAAGGGTAGTGTCCTGGAGTGGGGTCAATGAGCAGAAAGGAAGACTGGCCAGAAGGAGCAAGGATGGGGACAATGCTCCTCTGAGGATTCCTCTTCCCTTCAGAACCATCTAGCTCGCCCTTGGACCTATGGGAGCCCAGAGGAGCAGATTAGGAGTCAGGATACAGCAAAGCAGGGGTACCAGGCCGTGTCAGTCACCTCCAGGGCTCTGTCCTGGAAAGTTACTCTGGGCCCCATGTCGAGCCCCTCTCCACCTCGTGCCTGGTGTACTGCTGCACGCCCCAGGCAGCGACTCCAGACTCCAGCCGCAGCAGCTCTGCAGGCGAGAGGTCCAGTTTGTCTCGCTGGGGTCCCAGGTTCCGGCAGGGATGGAGTGGGTGAGGGCCCGTCAGGGGCGCTACTGCTCGGTCAGCGAGAGTCTCAGGATGCGCTCCAGTTCCTCCTCCTCCTGGCGCGCGCGCCGGCGCCGCTCCTCTTGCTCCTGAGCCGACAGCTCCATGGCCAGCCGCAGCTGCTCGTTGTAGCTCCGGAACACGTGGCCGCCAGAGCCAGGGCCGGGACTGGGCCGAGGGCTGGGCACCCGCGCGGGGGGCGCGTTCTGGCGCTGCGGCGTAGGCGGGGCGCTCCTGCGGGCGGGGAGGATTCTTCTAGAGCTCGGCTGCTGCGCACCAGCCCAGGTGCCTGGGCGGGCCGCTGCGCAAAGGCACAGCCGGCCTGCCACCCTCTAGGGGAAGGCGAAGAGTCTTAGCGTCCAGGTAGTGCACTTAGATTCTCTGGGCCTAGCGGGGTTTCAGTGTCATCTCCCAGTGTGAAGGGGTACTGGGGTACCCTGTGCGTGTGTGTTGGGGGGTGGATGACAACAAGCGTCTCCAAATGCTCTTTGGCCTAACGGGCACTGACCTGTCCTGTCGGCGACCCTCGCAAGACATGGGGTGAGTGCCTGGTTTGCTGTTGGTTAGCGCCTCCCAGATGGTGACCTGGAGCGAGGAGCCTGTTAGCTGTGCGTCCCCGCACTCACATGGCCTGGCGAGGCTGCGGGGACGCACCTGGTCATACTCACTGCCTGCCTCAAGCAGGCTCTGCTGGATGGCGAACTGTAGCAGGTCGTCATCTTCCTCGCGAGTCGCCGCCTCCCGCTGGCCGCCCAGCACGCTGTAGCCTCGTGGGGCCTCGAACAAGGTCGGGGAGATCTCGCAGCCGCGGCACGAGGCTGAGGACGTGAGGCTGCCGGTCAGGCGTGTGCTGGGCCGCAAGCGCACCAGGATGGGGAGGGAAAGCGAGCCGGCTCACGGAGAGCAGGAGGAAGGCTGGGGGTGGCAAGGCACAGGGAATGGAGAGTCTCACTTGTAGAACTGGAGCTGCTGACGCTGGAGGAGTCGCTGCCTGGGGAAGGAGTCTCACTACTGGGGCTACCTCGCACGGATGGCACCGGCTCGTCGCAGCCATTGAGGTTCCCGAAGGTGATGCGCGCATTGAGGATGTGGAAGATCGGAATTTCTAAGGATGAGTAAACCATCAGGGACCACCACCCACTCTCTCAGACCTCAGGCCGGCAACCCTGACCTCATCTGGATCCCACCCCAATCCCCAAAAGGGCTGAGGAGAAACGGCAGTGGGGTCTCACCAATCTTGACGGGGAAGCCTGGAGGCAGGCGCAGGGTGATGAAGTCCCGGAGCTTGGCAAAGAGCGCGTTGCTGACTGCCATGAGGTCAATGATGGGGGCCACCTGCTCACACAGGGACAGGGGATGCTCCTCACACAGCCACAGCTTGGCCTTGAACCTGCCCCCCCAGATCCCAGGGGTGAGGGATGCTGCAGGAAGCCATGGCCTCCCAGCACCTCCTTGAGCCCCAGCCCTGCCCACCCCTTCCCAGCAGGAGCAGGGGGCCTCACTTCTGTGTCTTGGTGGTCAGTTCCATGGGGCGGCCCATGTCCCGGTTGCCAAGCTCAAAGTTGGGGTTGAAGTATTCTTCTGCAGTGATGGCAGTGGGGTTGGCTTGGCTCAGGGTCTGAGTGATCAGGGTCTGTACCACATGGGGAGGGGCCATAAGCCTTTCCCAGTCCCTGATGCCAGCCCAGCCAGTTGATACCATGGATTCCCATCTCTCCCCTGCCGGTGGCATGGCTTTGAGCATTATGCAAAGGAGGTCTGCACGGGCCATGCTAAGCAGGATGCCCTCCAAGCCTCCTCCTGAGCCACATCCACACCCCTGCACACAGTGACGCACACTCACCCCATTTTGGGGGCCCCCATGCTGCTCAGCAATTCCCAGGAAGGACTGAAGAGGTGTCTTACAGCCTACAAGAAATGTGGTATCTCAGAGGACACATGGGCACCTCATCAGAAGTGATAGTACTCAAGCCCTAGGGATGCGGCTGCTCACCCACAGCACATAACCAGACACCTTCATCTAAAAGTGACTAAGGACTCCATGGGGCAGGGTCAGAACCCCTGCAAGCACAGCTGGAAGAAAAGTAGGTTTGGGTCCCAGGAGAAACATCCAAAAGTGCCATTGTCCAGGTTGGTGACACTGGGCGGTAAAATACCTTCCTTTTGTGGGCAGTTTTAGGGTATGCATGTGTTTCTCTCTGGGGACTTGTATATTACTGACTTCATTTTTTTTTCCCCTGTGAGGTAGGAATTATGTGATTCTACTTGAGACAAGTTAGCTGATACCCAGAGAATCAGTTGTGTCAGTGGGCCCACAGAAGCAGTGGGAAGGTGCCCGGACTTTCTACCCAGGCTATGTCCCACTTGAGTAAAATGACCAAATACAATGCAGATATTATCAGTCAGTGGTAGCCTGCCTTTCCACTAAGCCCAAATGAGCCCTTTTAGAATCTTCTTAGCAGTGCTATAGGCAGTTGCTACCAATCATTAGGGCTTAGTGCTTGAATTAAAACCTATTTGCCTGAATAAACCATCCTAGCTCTTACTGGACTGCCAAAGAGAATACTGCTGGAGGAACTAAAGTGGAAGCTGGCTCTTCCAGTCCCACAGCACCTCCCCCTCACACCTTGACCTCATTACCTTTGACCTTGCCCTTGTGCTGTTCTGAAAGATGCTCTGTCCGGGTCCGGGTGATGAGCTCCACATTGGATGCCCCATATACCTGGAGACAGAGAGGGAAGGGCTCAGAAATAGCTCTAGTAGGGCCGGGGATTTAGCTCAGTGGCACTGCACCTGCCTCAAAGTGCAAGGTCCTGAGTTCGATCCCTGGTACTAAAAAAGAAAGAAAGAAAGAAATATCTATAGTAGTCCCACTTGAAGGAATCCTAAACATTCTCTGCAATAAAGGGTCTTGGAGGGCCTCTTTGCTCCAGTTCTGAAGCTTTGGGCAAGTAAATATATCAAATTGTTCATTCATTCACTTATTCATTCAACAAACATTCTTTTAAGGGGGAATTATCTGCAGCCATTGAGGTGGGCATCAGGGTTACGGAGGTGAATAAGCCAGATATAATTCCTACCCTCATGAGGGCCACATTCTAGTTTGGCGACAAGAAAATGGACAGCTATAACTCAGTGTGACACACGCTTTGGTGAGGGGGTACCAAAGGGCCTTATCCCAGCCAACAGAACCAGGTAGGGCATCCAGGAGACAGTATGTACAAGAGCTTGCAGCATTTGCCAGTTCCTCCATTCACCAGCAGCACCACGCGTTGGAGAAAGTGTGGGTTCTAGAGTGACTGACACAGTTTTAAGGGTAAAGGCCTGGCTTTAGAGTCAGGCAGCCGGGGTCTGGCCCCCAACTCTGCCACTGCTAGCTGTGTACATTGTAGTTACTTGGAATGACTTTACAAGGTCACAGAACCACTCCAAGCCTCCATTTCCTTGTCATAAAAATGGGCCAATAATCCCTACTTCATGGAGTTGTAAAGATTAAATGGGATGCCCTGGAAATGCCTCAGGGAGTATCTGGAAATGGAATTCATAACAGCACCTGCCTGAAAGGGTTACGGCAAAGGGTAAATGAGGGCATGCATGTGCTTATTTGTGCACATATGTGTAAATATACCCATATATTAGTATAAAATGCCAGAATGGTGCTTTGAACATGAACATAGTAACTCTCATCCAGGTGACTGTTAGCCTGACGCCCCTCCCTCCATGCCATGTGGCCTCTGCACCTCCAAGGATAGGGAAAGGTAGTCAGGAAGGCCCTGTAGACAAGAGCACAGCTGGCTCTGGCACTGGGAGCTGCGCCCTCACCTTTGCTTCATACCCATTCACCATCTCTGTCTTCTCACTGCGCCAGCCCAGAATGCCAGTCTTATTCCTGCAGAAGTAGAGGGGTCCAGGTGAGGCAAGGACCCCACCAGGCTGAATCCAGGCTGGCCAAGGCCGCGCCTGCTCACCTCTCAAAGGAGATGTTCTTGGTGTCAAGCTGTGTGGTAACGACAGGTGCGGTGAGCCGGCTCAGCACCTGCTCCTCGGTGGGCTGGGCAGCAGCCAACAGTAGCTCCCGGTCCTGCCCAGCCAACGCCAGAGTCTCTGTATACACCACCCGGCGGTCGTGGTCAATCTCCATGACCACAGCACTCGTGTCTGCCAGCCACAGAACAGCACAGGGGGGTCAGGGTGACATGGTGCTGTCCCATCCTCCCCACCTGCCCCACCTCCTGCCTGCCTGACCTTGGCCCCTGAAGATGAAGCTGCGGTTCCCTCGCTGCCATGTCATATGGTCAAAGCCCAGGAGCGTAGTGTCTACCCTCAAGTTCTGCCCGCTCTTCCACACTTTGTAGGTGTCACTAGGGCAGATCTTGGACACCAGGGGCACTGGGTGGAAGTGGAGGTCAGAGGTGGCTTCAGTTTGCCTGGCCCACCCAGCCTGGGCCAGCTCAGGGGATAGGAGTTAGGGTCAGTGAAATGACCAGGAGAGGGTGAGGGAATTGATATAAGAGCAGTCCTTCCTCCAAACACCCCCCTTGACAAATGTAGACCACACTCCCTCAGACGTGAGGATGGGGACAGGCATGCCTTGCTGAGACTCATAGCTAAGTCTCTAGTATCCTCCACTGTGTTAATTCATTCACTCAGCCTCTCATCCAATCTTTCAACAAGTATTTATTATACACCTACTACATGCCAGAAACTATTCAAGTCAGTGGAAATATAACATTAAACAAGACAGGGACTTCTGCCCTCTTAGAATGTACCTTCTAGCAAGGGGTGACAAATAATAAACAAATATGTAAATCATTACAGAGTGAAAGAAATAATGGAACCAAGACACGGTCTGGGGCAGTCTGGAGAGACTTTGCTGAGGAGATAGCATTGAGCTAAAAGATAACATTGAGAGCTAAAAGATGAATAGGATCCCCTGAAGAGCTATGGAGTGATGCCCCAGGCAGAAAGACAGTAAGTGCAAAATCCCCAAGGTCAGAGAGGCCCCCATTCAGCCCCTCTTACCCCAGCTAGTGAATTCCCATTTCATCTCCACATAGAAGTCCTGGGCCTAGAGGATGGAAAGGAGAATGGCTAAGCTCACACTAGAAATGGGGTGCAAGGGTCCCAGTGGCCAGGCTGGGTGGCTGAGCCTCACCTTTCGCAGCTTCTCCAGGAGCACAGGGATGCCTGCCAGCCGCTTCACCACCCGCTGGTAGTCCCGGTACCTCAGCACCAGCTGCACCAGCTCCAGGTCCCGGGTACTCACAGCCTCCTGAAGTACTGGGGGAGGGAAGGTGACGTCACAGGGCAGGACCCTTTAGCCAACCTGAGGTGAGTACCTGATCCTGGGGAAGCCCTGGCTGTCTGTCGGTGCCCACCTGTCCAGCCACTGCGATTCTCCCTGCCCACGTCAGCACCATGTGCCAAGAGCACACGGGCACACTCCAGGTGCCCCAGTGTGGTCGCCAGGTGCAAGGGAGTCCGGCCACGGGGATCCAGCTGTTCGATGTCCACCTGCAGGAGGAGTTGAAGAGGTAGCACTAGTCACTTCAGAAGCAACTGACCTAAGCAAAACAGCCCCGAAGCAGGCAGCTACCCTCTAGCTCCACCACCTTACCCACCTCACAAGACCTTGGAAAAGACCTACATGATAAGCTGACACCAACTACATGGAGAGGCGCTTAGACAGGGCAGAGAGCAACTAACTGTTAGAGGGAAAGGGAGGGCCTTGCTCCTTTTCTGTTCTTCTAGGTCCCCGATCTGGGTTCCCTTCTCCAAGGCCCAGTGGGCTGTGCAGGAAAGTAAGCCAGAGACTGAAGGGTGGTCCAGAGATAATACAGCATGCTGGACCTGTTCTGGAGGTCCTAAACACACCTTCAGGTGGGGCCACCAGTTTTATATCACTGACATTAACACTGAGAGAAAAGGCAAAAAGGTGTAGTAATACACAGGTAGTGAAAGAAAATGTTCATGGTACAACTTCAAAGCCCCATCCCTATGCACTAACATTTTACATAAATTTTATTATTTTGTGAATAGCATGATTACACTGCATGAGTTTTTTGTGGGGTTTTTTGGTACCAGGGATCGAACTCAGGACCTTATGCTTGCGAGGCAGGCAGCAGCACCACTGAGCTAAATTCTGGCTTTGCATGAGATTTTTGCTGTGTGATAAAAGCATATGTTTGCTAAACATAAATATTTAAATATATCTCAGGAGTTTAGGACTTCTCCTTAAAAATACAGTGAATTGACCATATGGGTGTAACTCCTTCTCTTCTCCCCAAAACTTGATTAAAGTGCCAGCAAAAAGCCTCTATTCTAACCATCACTATAACAAATTATGCTGTCACCAGACAAAATGAGATAACTATTGCTTCAAAATATCTGAAATACTTGTTTTCAGACATGAGGCCACAGGAAATACAAGACTGAGATCTCTGAAGAGAAACAAACAGGGTAAGTAAGGGATTTTTGCCTGAGGGTACATTCCAGACTGCAGTCCAGGGAGGGGAATGCCTGGCAGTGCCTGGTGGTCCTGCAGAGTTAAGGAGACAGAGATAGGATCCAGGGAGATTGAGGTAGCTGCAAGTTGCAAGGCAGAGTTCTGGAAAGGAATGAGCCTTGCAAAGAAAGAACTCCTCTGATCTTTTTTCACTCATCCATCACCCTAACCCTCTCTGTTCAAAGGAATGGGAGTCCCTTTGAGTCTTTGCTGAATGCTAAACTTCATTACAGCACAGGAGCAATAAACCGATGACTTTTCAGACCTCAGAGGACAGAGACATTCAAGCTTCTATCAGCTAGAGTACAAGGTTGATCGTTCGATATATTCAATAGAGACCCAGAAATGTTATGCCTTAGTAGTAGGGCTAAACTATTTCTAGAGAAAAGCTCACCCAGACCTACCCTAGCAGATTAAAATTTAGCATCAGAGCTGGAGATTTAGCTCAGTGGTTCCACCACCTGCCTCGTAAGCGAAAGGTCCCAAGTTTGATCCCCAGTACCAAAATAAAGAAATAAAGAAATAAGGGGAACAGGGATTTAGCTCAGTGGTTCCGCCACTTGCCTCACAAGCACAAGGACCCAAGTTTGATCCCCGGTATGAAAAAAAAGAAATAAAATAAAAATAAGTAAAAAATAAAAAAGGGCTAGGGATGCAGCTCAGTGCAAAGGCCCTGGGTTCAATCCCTAGTACCACCACCACCAAAAAAAATTTTTTTAAAATCAAATTTATTTATAAGGGATTCACTTAGTTTGCCAGAACAAAGCTTAACATTATTTAAAGAAAAATGACAAAATCCAGATGCTTAATATTTACAATGTCCAATATCCAGTTAAAAATTCTAGCTATGCTAATAGAGACTGTGACCCATAATCAGAAGAGAAATGACTTAATAGAAATGAGAAAAATTATGGCTCAATATGCTCAAGTTTCAAGAAAAATATAAACAAGGTGTTCATGAGGAGAAAAATGGGAAATATAAAAAGAACTCAGTGCCTGTGATCCCAGCACTCAGAGAGAGGCTGAGGCAGGAGGATCACTGCAAGCGATCTAGGCTGGCTACATAGTGAGTTTAAGGCCAACCTGAACTAAGTAACAAGACCCTCTGTTTCAAAAAACCAAAATAAAACAAAACAAAACCCCCAAAATAATACAGTGTGCCAGGATGACCCTTGTAGTCTCAAGAGACTGAGGCAGGAGGATCATGAGTTTAAGACTTGCCTAAGGTATATAGTAAGGCCAGCCTGGACTACATAGCAAGACCCTGTCTTAAGACGACAACAACAAGCAAAAAAAGGGCCCCCAAAACCCATAAAGACAACAAATACAGAATCCGAAATGGAAACGTTTGCTAGATGTAGACATTTAAGGATTTTTTTTCTCTTAAAATTGGTGAATCTGAAGAGATAGCAATAGAACCATCCAAACTGAAGCACAGAGGAGGGACAAAAAAAGTACTGAAAAAAACAGTTCATAGAACCTCATAACCTGTGAGACACTATAAAGCATTCTAACGAATGTGTGGTTGGAATCCCAGGGGACAGGATAAGGGTATAGAGAGAATAAGACAAATTTTAAAAAAAAATGGCCAACATTTCTCCAAATTTGATAAAAAGTACTTTAGTGGGTTGAATGGTAGTGTTCCTCAAAAAGATAGGTTCACATCACATTCTAACTCTCAGAACACATGCATGTTACTTTCTTTGGGAAAGGGGGTCTTTGTAGATGTAGTTGGATTATGACTCTGAAGGTGAGATCACCCTGGTGGTGATTCCAAAATCCAACGAGAGCCAGTGATTTAGCTCAGTGGCACCACGCCTGCCTTGCAAGCGCAATGTCCCGAGTTGGATCCCCAGTACCAAACATAAAACAAAAAAACACAAAATCCAATGAGAAGTGTCTCAGGAGACTCGTACAGAGAGAAGGCTGTGTGAACTCAGAGGCACAGGCCAGAGTTATGCAGCCACAAGCCCAGGAATGCCTGGTGCCACCAGCAGAAACTGCAAGAGGTAGGGAGGGAGTGAGGCCCTGCCAAAAATTCAGGTTTGAACTTCTGGCCTCTAGAATTGCAAGACATTAAATTGTTGTTTTAGCCCATCCACTTTGAGACAATTTGTTGTTTAAACAAATGCAACCATAAACGTACAGAATCAAGAAACTCAAAGAACCCTAAACAAAACAAACACAAAATTACACCAAGGCCTATCATAATCAAATGCTTAAAATTAATGATTTTAAAGAAATCGTAAGGGTATTCAAAGAAATGAGACCTTTTATACAAAGAATAAATACAGGAATAATACATACTTCTCATCAGAAACTATGCGAGCCATAAGACAATATAGGGCCGGGGATTTAGCTCAGTGGCACAGCGCCTGCCTGGCAACCGTGAGGTCCTGAGTTCAATCCCTGGTACCAAAAAAAAAAAAAAAACACAATATAATGAAATCTTTATTTTATTTTATTTTGGTACTGGAGATCGAACTCAGGACCTTGTGCTTGCCAGGAAGGCGTAGCACCACTGAGCTACATCCCCAGCCCTATAATGAAATCTTTAAAGAGCTGGGGGGAAAAATAACAAAAACATTTGAACCTATATAATTCTATATCTGGCAAAAATGGAGGGGAAGTAGATACTTCTGCAGACAAAGAAAAGCTAAGAGAATTTATTGCCAGAAGATGTGCAGGAAATGTCAAAGGATACTCTTCAGGTAGAGAGAAAATTGATACCAGATGGAGACATGGATCTATACAAAGGCATGAAGAGCACCAAAAATGTTAAATTTGTAAGTATAATATTGTCAGTAAAATATTTAAAACCCACAAGAATAAAGAGAAGAGATATCAGAAGATGAGAAATTTCAACATATCTTTAGAACATAGGAAGTGGCCAAGGTGTCACAAATGATTTAGGGAAGGCAGGGGAAGCTAAAAGCCAGGCAGCCACAGAAGGGAAGCCTGTGAGTAGCAAATCAGGCCACCCCAGCACTCCTGAGAGTTTTAGGCCCTGTAGGCAGTGGGGATGAGGCTCAGAGCTGGATACAGGAGGACCAGGTAAAATTCGGAACCCCATGGCTCCCTCCCTATCCTTTTAAAGCTGAGAGGTGCCCCCTATTCACCACAGGACACCATTTTTATCCTCTGTAGGAACTGAACATGAGATATGCTGGTCTCAAGGACACTGGCCACAGTGGAGGCCATGAGGCTGAAAACTGACCACTGAGACCTCAGCCCGCCCTTACCTTGGATCCTGCATTACTGGCAGCCAGATTATAACAGACCCCCACCCCAACCCCCATTCCACCAAGCAACAGACTGGAGAATTTTTCCTTGGAGAAACTAAAGGCCAGGACCTCTGAATAAAGACATTTGGGGGCCCACAATGAACAGGCCAGTTTGCCACCCAATCATCTTACAGCAGCTTCCATACATCAGGAATCTCCACATGTCCATTCCTAAATATGCCCCAGTAGCCAAGCTGGACTGGACCCTTGAGGAAAGCTTCCAGCATGAAATCAACCCAAACATACAGATAGATGCTAAAGACACAGAGGAAACTCTTTCAATGCAGGGTGTAAAAGAAACTTTTTCTGGGGAAAACAGTAATTTATATCTTCAAGGAAAATACTGCATGAAAAAAAATCATTGCATTCACAATTGGGAATTCACATTGAATTCCTTGCCTTCCTCACTCCAGAAGTACCTTTCTTCACCTTTCCTGGTTTTCTTCTTTCTTGGACAGCTGTCTCTGCCCCTCTGTTTCCATCTGCTAAACAATACCGCAGTTCACTTTATTTTTCATATAAACAAGAACAATCTTTATTTTTTGCATGCTGGAGATTGACCAGAGCCTCATACATGCTAGGCAAGCACTCCACCATGGAGCTACATCCCCAGCCCCTCCAAACACCTTTGGAATTGTCTTTATGGCTTCTCTTTCACTTACCCTTCATGTCTAATCTATCAGCAGAACCTGTAGACTCTACCTTCAAAATGGATCTAGAGACCT